CTTTCCCTCTTGTTTATAAATAATGTGCACCTCTTTCATCTTTGATATGGTGAAATGGCCAGCAGCCTCGCAACCGTTCTGAGGTTCATCTCGTCTACGACTAGATTTTCCATTATCATCCACCTCACACCATGTGTCATTACATAGTGGTGTCATCACTGGATAGCCTGATGGGTTGTTATTTTAAATTGATGCAAGCTTTTAAAATAAACATATTCCACATACTTTATTAGATTTTCATCATAGCAATGAGAATACAAAGAGACATCTCCTTAAATATATATAAAAAAAGTGACTGACGTGAGAGGATTTTACCCAAAGAAAATGAGCTTTCAGGAAATTAATACACAGCATCTGACAATTGCTGTATTGCCTATCAGACTGACATCTGAGTCAGATGTCATCAAAACTCAAGAACTGGATCAGCGAAGACATAATAAAAGCTGCTGACTCCAGATAATAAATGTAGTATCAGGTTGTTTTACAAAACCATTGTTACCCTAAAAGATACCATTTAGCCAAACCATTTTCAAAGAAATTTGCAACCTGTGACATTTCATGGAAGACTGGCAATATAAATATGGTGAAAATCTTCTGTAGCAAAACCAAAACAGTAGAAGGACTGGAGAGTAAGCATCGTTCTCTTACCTACTTTCAAGTACAGGGGAGAGGAGAGTATACCAGCACAGCAGGCCCATATGATAATCTAGTCTCACATTACCCTAGGGGTAAGTATTCAAGTAAATTCATTTTCAGAAAACTTCAAAAGTATTTAATATGCACAAATTCAGCTTCCCTATCCCTTTTTGCAGCGAAAAGGAACAAATACATTATTCAGTGCTCCAATACAAACATGACAGGCAAGTTGCGGATACAGTAGATAGACAGATTAGACCAAGAAACTGATTATAGACGATGAAGATAGCTATGAAGACCCATGGGCTAAATACAAGATCAGTGATGCTGATTTTGTAACTGCTAATGCACCCACACATAATTAGTTACTCAAAGAACATTAAGAGTTTGAAATATCAAGTGCATAATCAGTAATGCAAGGCACCTTGTTTAAACACTTCATAAATGTATATTTTTACTATCATTCAATAACAAAATGACCAATCTTACAACAAAATGATGCAGTCCCTAAACCTTGTCTTCCTGCCAGAACCACCCTTCAGTTCTTTTACCTGACATGTCAGAAGCAGCTAGTTAAGAATTTAGTCTAAATTAAAATTTTGCAGTCATGTTTCAACTGGAGGCAGCCCTTACTCCTAGCAAATTGCTCATGAAGCTCCCTGGCAGCAACACAGACCTCGCGCTAGAAGAGTACCTGCAGAAAGTAGAGCTAAGTCAGTGGACACAGTTAGACGGAGACTCATTAAGACTTGCTGAATTTTGCAACGGAACAATTAAAAAACAAAGGGGATGGATAAGTATTACAAAAAGTGCTTTGTCTTTTCGTTTAAGGGATACTAGTTTTGTTTAAACTAACACTTGAGAGGATGCTGGTAAATTTACAATAATACAGTTTGTAAAAGTAGCCATGACCTCCTGCCTATGGGGAAGTCATCGAGAAAATGGATCCAGTGGTGCATGGTGGGAGGACAAGAGATGACAGGCATAAGTTGAAATGAGAAATTCAGACTTGATATAAAGGGGAAAAATCACTACGAGGATAATTAAGCAGTGGAGTAGGTTGCCCAGAGTGGCTGTGGGAAACCCTGAAGGTTTTGGAGCCCCAATGGGACTAAGCCCTAAGCAACCCGGTCTGCCCTCATGGCTGACCCATGGGGTTGAGCAGGAGGTTGGCCCAGGGACCTCCTGAGAGCCCTCCCAGCCTGTATTATCCTACGAGTCTGTGGTCATTTCCACTGACAGCCTGCTCAACCTCCACAAGCAGTCTATGTGCTATCCTTCCCACTGGCAAGTCTTCCTAATGTCTAATGTGAATCTTCTGCTCTGCAATTTAAGCCCATCAATTCCTGTTTTATCCACCATAGATATACACCCTCCCCCCTTGCAACAATTTATTATGTATTTGAAGACTATTTCCATGCCATTTTCAGGTTCACTTAGATGCTTTTCAAATGCTTAATACTTAAATGCAGCCTTTAAGTGCCACATTTCAATTTGTTCTAACTATTGGGCAAGCATATGTGCCAGCTTTCTTGGAGACTTCTAAGCGTTTTTAAAACACGCAGCTTAAAACACCACGAGTCCACTCAGCAGATTTTTTATTTTTTACTCCCACTCTATTTCACTGATTTTCATAGTCAAAAACAGTTTCTGGCGTCATCCCATATGTATTATCTGATTGTGCAAATTAACTTACACTTGAGCTATTTCTGAGGTAAAATAGCCATGTTTTTCTCTCTTGCCTTCTTGCTCACAGAAATTATTAAACCGTAATTCTCACAGTAGCGCATTCTCCACACTTGCCTACCACTCTAAAATCTGTTCTCAGTTTGCACATTTGCAGCTTACAGTCCTGTTTATTCTCAGAGGAACAGCTTCCTGCTAGCTTCCTCCAGTCTTATTTCTTGCTAGCTACATTTGATTTTGTTTGTTTTCTCAACAGCAGGAACTCCTTGCCCATTTCCCCTCTTCCTTGGAGGGCCTTCCCCTTCATATAAACACATGTACCAGTGTTTTTGGAGACTACTCTTCTTTCCATTCCTTGAATTCTGCTCTCACGGGGAAATCATTTTACTGCAGTGCCTCAGGATGAACACCCTTATTTATCAGTCTTTGCTATATTTAAATAGGTCTTTGAGAGTTACAGTAACTGCAGCATAGGAGCGATCGAAGGGCCAAAGCTGCTGTTTGCCTGAAGCCAGGCTGGGCAGGCAGTGCTGTGACGGCTCTTCATTTTGCCTCAGGATTAGCGTTCCCAGTTGCGTTGGTTATTTTGCCTAAGGTGTGGAGGATGAGGAAATACAACTCCTTCATCCAACACATTATGTGAAGACACGTGTTTTTGGCTTACTCAGACATAAGAATTAGAAGGGAATAGGATGCCCTGAACAAGAAGGATAACAAAATCAGGGTATGCTTGAACAGCAAAATGAAGACATTAGTGAAGCATGGGCAGGCATGGCTTTAATCTAACTGGCACAGGCAGCAATAGCATTGAAGATGCAGAAGCACAAAATTCAGTGTGGGCCAGCAACTCGGATAAGGTCATGGGGGCTCACTCACCTCCTTACCTTTGCATCATCCCTGCTATTGCTCCCTGGGCCATACAGACAAAAGGTCACTTAAAATTCTTCCCCACACTCCAATCACTTCTTCAACTGCAGTGCAGAAATACCTTGAAGGCTATCAGCTTCCTTATTCAGTAAGGAAAACCTTCAGGTTATTCTGGGTTATCTATGACCCAGGCGACATTGTAACAAGTCAGTTCAGTCACCTGGCCCCTAAGGCAGTGAGGTAAGAGAACAGTATTTCACTTACAATCTCCCCCGTTAAATCACTCCTTTTCCTCTGAATAAATATGGGTGCAGCAAATTTTGCAGTTCGTCCAACACATACTATTTATATAATCCTCTGTCTAGCTTTGGTCTGAAAAATAAGGTTATCCTAGATGCTCTTCGCCTTTTAAGGTTCAAATATTTTAGCATTTATTTGTTTAAATCGTACTAAGCATAAGAGGTACATGCTGTGTACGTAATGAACTGCCACTGACAGTGAGAGAAATTTATCACCATATTTATCTCAATGAATTCCAAATCAATTATAGCTTGCAACTCTGATAAAACTTTATCATTTTTATTATTGATGACCACATCTGTAGTCCTATTGTTTTTCAGATCGGTTTTGACAAAGGGTTCCAAGCTTCAGGGCTCACAGTGTTTTGTGACTACTCACATACGCACATTTGTCTTTTATTCTGAGCTTGATAATATGGGCCTTTTTCAAAACCTTGTGAAGATGCCTGCACAACCTTTTTCAAAAATGTAGGATGTCTCATTCAAAGATCAGGTACTGCAAAATAAAAATTAGAATGAAAAGGCAGACTGAACATGAACAATCTTGGCTTACCAAAGTGTACCCTTTGAACTGAAAACAAAGTGTGAAAACACATCAAAGTAGGGTGTACACTCCCAGAGACTTACAAACAAAGCCATGGGTCTGGTAGCACATTAGCAAAGCTATCAGTGCTATTGCTGAAGAATCCACAGATGTCTCTTACACTTCACTAAGAAATGTAGTCCAGTTACACTGGAGATAAATTCTCTTGCTGTTGAAGAGACGGCATGTTGAGAATAACTGAGTCTCAGACATGTGTCTATCAGTGTGCTTCAACAACGATTCATTTTAGAAACTTTCTTCAGCCCTCGGCCTTGCTGAGGGGCCAGTTTCCCTGATGAATGGTACAGCTTTTTATTCTGGGGGCACTAGCCCAGTAGGATGAATGCTTAAAATAACAAGGTTAATTTTAAATAAGGTGTGAAGTAATGAAGATGATCTTTCGTTACCAACTCAGGCTGGATTGGAAATCCTAAATCAATTGTTGAAATAAATCATTCTATAACCTATCACTTCTGGAAGTATTACAACTGTGATGTCATCACTTATGTCATATTCATTGTTCTTATTGGGAAAGTTAGCACAAAGTCCATTTCCCCCCAGGAAACTGTATTAATATCTTTGTTTTTGTTTTTTTGTTATTTGCTTTCCTAGATCTTTCCCTCTAGCTGAGAGCACCAGACTCGCCAAGAAAAATGCCTGAGCAAAGCAACGATTACAGGGTTGTTGTGTTTGGGGCTGGAGGTGTCGGCAAAAGTTCTTTGGTCTTGAGATTTGTGAAAGGCACTTTCAGAGAGAGCTACATCCCTACCATTGAAGACACCTATCGGCAGGTGATCAGCTGTGATAAGAGTATATGCACTTTGCAGATAACTGACACTACTGGGAGCCATCAATTTCCAGCCATGCAACGTCTTTCTATTTCTAAAGGACACGCTTTCATTTTGGTTTACTCAATTACCAGCCGACAGTCCCTGGAAGAACTCAAACCCATCTATGAACAAATATGTCAGATTAAAGGAGATGTAGAAAGCATTCCAATAATGCTGGTGGGGAACAAAAATGATGAGAACCAAAATCGAGAGGTGGAGAGCAGTGAAGGAGAAGCCATGGCCAAGAAGTGGAAGTGTGCCTTTATGGAGACCTCTGCCAAGCTGAACCATAATGTGAAAGAGTTATTCCAAGAGTTGCTAAACCTAGAGAAACGCAGGACTGTGAGTTTACAAATAGATGGCAAAAAAAGCAAGCAGCAGAAAAGGAAAGAGAAGCTGAAAGGCAAATGTGTGGTGATGTGAAATTACACTGCCATGAGTCAGTCATGCAGTCTCATCTGTCTGACAATACTGGTATGAAACCTATAGACAACAGAGAACCATACAAGACCCTATATATTAGTATCTGTTTAAAAAAAAAATTTGAAAAAATGTGTTACTGTGGTTACTATTAAAAAGTCAACAATTCAAACATCATTTGCTCCAGCTACCTGTGGAAAAAAAAATCAGGACATTAAAAACAAGACAGGCCAGGATATCTAATTTTACAATATACAGAAGAAAATAATTTCTGTCCTTAGCGTACTGTGGAAGATTTGGGACGTCAACTTCGTAATCTTTATGTTTGCATATAACTGCAATGGAAGGCAACGTATCTACATAACCTAATCTTAGAAGAAAAACAAACAAATGCCCATGAAGAAATCTAGAATGTAAAAATGCATGCTGGATTAAGTTATCATATCCTTTAAGAACGCTGTGGACAAAGAGTTCTGTGCAATTTTCAGTACTGACTGCTGGGGCTGTGTGAATAAAAAAAGGTAATCATGGATCTGCCAAATAAATGGACTATTTTGCACTAAAGGGAAGTATAGGGGTAGCACAGTTAAAAGAAATGGAGATTCTCTCTACCTCCCACAGCATGAGATGTCTTTCTAGTCTGATGCAGCACTTGAATGGAAGGATGGGGAAAAACAACCCCCTTAGGAGAGCTGGAGATCATCTCCTTTTCTGGACACGTCTCTTCAAGAACGACCTGCACTTCTAGCCCCAAGACGTTTCAGAAGAGCAGATGTTTACCTGTGTCCCCTACAAAAGCCCCTAAGGAAAAGGCTCAGTTCAAACACTGCTGATGGATACAGTGTGATTAGTGAATGAACTGAAAGTCTATTGAATTGGCAATGCTGTTGGAGGGCAGTCAGTGTAGTACATAAAGTTTTTATTCAGATTACCAGATCAGCCAAGTACAGTCTCTTTACACTACTATATTTCAATTAGAATGGTTTTGCATTCATCCTAAACATCCAGTACACTACTAGATCTATTGCCTTTATATTGTCTAAAGGATTTTATATTCACTATTCAAACTTACGCTTTGAACTGCTGCGACTGTTTATAGAACCAAATCCTCCATCTTGAGTTAGGGCCCACAAGAGTCTCGAATAGAAGATTTCCTAGGACGAGTACTACAGGATTTGGCATACTAACAGTTGCAGTCAGACCTGTGTTACAATGGAATACAAGGTTCAGAACAGAAACAACTGGTTCAGATGCAGTGTGAGCTTTTCTGGATCTCTCTCCAAAGTTTTTTAAAATACTAATATGAATGAGTACAGTAGGTATCTTACAGATAACAGCAAAACAAAGACCATCAAAGATAAAAGAAGCACATACATTTTTTAAAGGACACATCAAAATTGTATAAGCTACAATTTGCACCTTAGGAACTGCTTTGAAATAAGAAAAACAAAACACCATATTTTTGGGAAATGTGTATGTCAAAATCATACTATGGGGAAATGCAGTCAAGTACTAGTATTATTAGCATGCATGCTGCTGCATTATAAATGTCTTCTAAGCGCTGTTTAAAGGCAGTATTCGCATCAAAAAAATGTTACCTTGCTGCTCTCAGAGCTACTGCTTCTTTACCTTCCACCTTCTGAACAGAAGTGCAGGTGTTTCACAGGTAAGATGATAGCGTACGTTTCTTTGAGCAAGAATTGCTACTAGCGCTCTCAGAAAGGAGCACAACTTTCGTCATTCACCCGAGAAATTTTGGCGTTATTAAAATCACACGCCAAACTCCTCCTGATTTCAGAAAGGACAGAATTTTGTGCGTGTACTTCATCGTATTGGAATAGAAAACTGGAGAGAGCATGGAGAAAGCTAAGGCTCTTCCTTAACAACAAATTCCTGGCTCTTACACAATGCTTTTTCACCTCGAGTCTCAAAGCACTTTACAAAAATCCTCATCTTAGCTTTACAGAAGGTGAAACCGAGGCACAAAACGTGGAGCAACCTCAAGGAGGTTACCCAGCAGGCTCGTGACAGACCCAGACATAAAACCAGAACTCCCTGAGCCCCAGCCCAGTGCTCTGTCTGTGTTTGGTCAGCTCGCCTCTTCACATTCGTAAATAATTTTTTAAAACGCATTAAGAAATCTAGTATAGTTTATACGGCTGAGCGCATTTTCTTCTTGACAGTCTATCAAGAGATCAAACAGTACTTTCAGATCAGGGATGCAACACATTTAAAAGCACTATGTTTAGTAAGACTTTTGTATATGTTTGTACATTTAATCTGTTTGTAAGCAAACGGTTGAAGATTCTCATCTTTACAGTTTTGGCTTCCAGTAACAAAACTGGAAAATAAAAAGAATGAGCACACTTAGGGAATAAGGGGTCATTTACAAAGGTCAGCAGTGCGGAGGCGCGCAGCCGACGCTAACGGAGCGGTGCCCGAGGCCATGCACGGCACACGTAGGAGAGCTCATTCCAGCAGCCTGCATGGAGTAATGGTAGAGAAACTCCAAGAAAAAGGGCCGTATAAAGGCAGAGATCCTTATCATACTACGACTTTCACTGATGGGGTTATTTACATGATAAGGAATCTTGCAGAAGTAGAATCCAGGGAATATGACTTGGGCGCAAGGGTTATGACTGAAACGTGGCATTTGGCCCTTGACTTTAGTTGACTGTGTCTAATGGCAAGTGAGGCGTAACTGTGCGGCCAAGGTGGAAATAAAACAAGGAACCACCTGCTGTTAGGCTTAAGGACCATTTCCTTCAATTCCCAGGCAATTTCTCTCCTATTACATAATAAGCCATGAATTATTTCATGGACTTGCATGTATCAAAGCAAGGCCAGTACAGAAGCAATATTACTCATGGACCACAGACTCGAAAGAGAACATATTTTATACCCTTGCATTGTCATTCTAGTTTATACTACTAGATTTTACATATCTTACATATGTGTGAGCTAGTTTAAAATATTCGTTTTGCTATTACTTATACAAACTTTTTTTTAAATACAGGAAAAAAAAACAGTTAGGTAAAAAAAGAAAATACACAGCTTTATTACACTTTGTGTTTTCTTTGGGAATGTGATATCAGTATAATTAATAAACTCTTAAAAATGTACAGAAATAACAAGACCTATTTAAAACATGTAACATCTACAGTGAATTTTAGCACCTGGAGAACATGATCTGGACAAATTGACTCTTCACAGCGCATGACTTTTATATGTGTATATGGAGTATTAAGATATATAGTTATCATGAAAATGTGTTGTTGCAATTTCATTAGCAAATACTTTATTCAAAAACTCTGGATATGAAGTCATTTGTGCCTACAAGTTTCTATGTTTCCAGTGATGTTCTGAACATACAAAATAAAGTTTTAAATGCAAATGTGAGTTTGGAAAAAGCCTTGTTAGTGCCTGTACTGCATTTATTTCATAAGCATTTTAAACATATCTTTCTCAAAAGTGACAAATGAAGCAATTCCCTGAACTGAAATAGATTTATAAATATTATGCAATGTCCTAAAGTTTGCAGCTGTACAAATGAGACTCCTGCAGGGCCAAGAATTAGAATTATCTGATCTAAACTTTACCTTTTTTTTATTGCAGCAAGATTTCAAAGCAATCTACCTTCTTCACAGAACCTAGACAATTGTTTCTTTCAGTCACAAAAAGCAAGAGCCCATATTTTATTATTCACTTTTAAATAATGGCAGATTAGAACTTTGTGCTTGTTGAAAAATTGAAACTTACTATATGGATGCTGCTCTTCCTCTCCTTTTCTACTAAGCACATGGTCTTAGCTTACTGATGTTTTTGTGGAATTTCCTAAGCCAAGCAACTACTGTATATAATAATACCACGAATGTTTCAAACTAATATTGTAAAAAAAATCCAACATATTACTCTAACACTTCTTTTTATTCAGAGGAGGTGGTAATATTTGCTCAGTTAAATAACACGTTCTGTATCTAAGCAATAATTTGCACACAATAGAGGAAGGGATCAATAAACAGTCATGAATACTTATGCACATTGGTAGGCATTCAAATCATTTTAAAAATACTGAGTATTGAATGCAAATTTCATATTATTGTGAACTAGTTGGACATGGCAGTCAAGAAAGCTTTTGCTTTTTGGCAAAGGACACCCACAATTCCTCATAATTCCTGTTATTCTTTTTTTTCTTATAATACACCATCAAATACTATGTATTGTACTGCCTCTGACACAGTGTATCCTGGAACACTGGATGTGTCAAATCAGTGTCCTGGGGCTTGCAAACATAGTCAGTAATTGTTTTAAGGATATTTGCACAAACATATTCCACATGAACACCACAAACATTACAAAATTTGTTTGGCTAACAATTTTCTGTCATGGGTTCCCGCTCCTGTTTCTTGCTGAAAAATGTCTTCCTTGTTTATACATGTCCTCATTCAAAGTCATGAGTACGTATTTAAGTCTCACTCAGTTCACTGCCATTTTAACTATGTCTCATGCACATTCTATGCATATTTTCACATTAACCCGAGAGTTTATTAAATGCACGAGACGGCATCTGAAGTCCAACTCCACAAAAGCTAGAGTGAGAGGCAGTGCAGAGCTGGGACACCTTCGAGAACATGGACCTGGGTGCTTCCTTGTGATGGACACAGACTAAATTAACCAGGGTTATACGAGGTTCAGTTAAAGAGTCGAGTCCCATCTGTTTCATACACTTTACTTTGGTCCAGCACTGCTTTTTCTAATGAGTCATAGAGGACATACTGAGAAGTCATAATGGAACCGAAGCAAAAAGGAACATTTGTTGTTCTGTCAGATATATTTACTCCCTGTTCAGATGCTAGGAAATGGTCTGAAACGAATCCTACCAGCACAGTTTTATCCTGATGCTCTGAAAGCAGTGGATGACATTATCTGCGATGTGGAAGCTGCCATTGTGTTTGTATTCATTTCAGTAGAAAAAGCAGGAAATCAAGAAGGAAAAGAGGTATTTTTCCATGAGAAGAGCATGGCAAATATTTTTTCCATACATGAAAGAGAAGGAAGGATCATTTGCCAATGACTTGCCGGAGGGTTAGCCCTCAGACAGAGACCACAAGGGGAGACCACAAGGTGCCAATCACTCCAGCACATATCTGCTTTACAACAGCATTTGCTTAGTGCTGTTGTGAAGAACCTTTGTCCTTGGTACTTGCCTGCCTTATTTGGTCCAGTCCTTAATACACACAGATTATGGGCCTACGGGCTTAACCATCTTAGGCGCTTTTAAAATCGCAGTGCA